AATATGAAATGACTTACCCACCTCTATTTCAAGCATCTATTGAGACCCTATTATGTGACAAATATTGTTCTAAGTACTGGAGATACAAAGAAAGGCAGAAACGGTCCCTGCCCTCAAGGAAGTCATCATCTTGTGGGGAAGATAAAATGCAAATGTACAAACAAGGTAGGGACAGGATAAAATGGAAATAATCTCAGAAGGAAGGCACTGGCATTAAAGAGGAATGGGAAATGAAATCGGTTTTGTGACTTACCTTACATATGTTATTTTATTCAATCTATTCCTGGTCATTTATGTGCTTGATAAGAGGCAGTATAATATAGGGGATAGAGAGCTGGTCTCAGAGTCAGGTTGATCTGGGTTCAAGTCCTTCCACATGCTGGCAGTGTGACTTTGACTGGACAAGTCATTTAACCTTTTGTGGCCTGGGAAACTCTCTAAGACTCTAAGTTACAGAGCAGGTGCTAATATACATCAATGAAGATGGTTTTCTCCCTGGGATCTAAATATGTGAAGACACTATGCTAGGAGCTGGAGATACAAAGGAAAAACAAAACAGTTCCTACCCCCAAGGAGGTTATATTCTATTGAGGGATATAACATCCTCATTTCTCAATCTCTTTCAATCTGATTCCTACCTCTGTCACTTGGCTGAAACTACTCTCTCCAAGGTTGCCAGTGATGTCTTAGCTGACAAATCCAAGTCTTATCTTAGTCACTGTCTTTGATCTTGTCGTAACTTTTCACATTGGTGTTAGAGGAAAGTTTTGGGGAAAAATATAGACACACTTATGTGTAATCCTCCTTAGGACTATGGAAGGTTGTTTATGACAGGGAGTGCCCAAGGTGGGTGGTGTAGTTCCCTCTTCCTGGATGGTCTCTCCTCCCTTGACATTCATAATTTATTCTTTCTGGTTTAGCTCCTACCTGTTTGAGTGGTTCTTCTCAATCTCCTTTGCAGGATCATCACCCATCTCCTGCTTCCTTACTATAGATAGTCCTCAGAGCTTTGTCTGAGTTCCTTCCCCTCCACTCCCATTCCTTCCTGGAGAGCAGGTCTTTGTTTCCTCATGCCTAGTAAAATTCCTGGCACCTAATAAGTGCTTAATAAATGCTTATTGATTGATTGTCTTGAGACAGAGTCTTTTGAGACTCCACCAGAAGGGATAGAGAAAGAATAGAAAGACCAAACCATTATCTTTCCATTGAGAGTTCTTTTTAAGCAAAGATGGTGCTTACACAGCTTCCAATAAATCATTAGATATGTCATTTCTGATTGTTCCAAGTGAGATGTGACCTGCTAGCTTGACACTAAAGAAATAACTTGTATTATAAGTCTATAAAATGAGTCCATGTGGAGGTGCTCTTGAAGTCAAAATTGTGAGTTGCTCCACCCCGGGGTGCTATTGTGTTCCAAAGAAAGTATATTTCCTTTTTATATACTATGATTGTTAATATATCCCTGCAATGTGCAAATCAATTGTTCCAGGGATACAATTAGATTCCAGTTTTTAAAATCTGAAAATATGTGCAAATTAAGATTTTTTTAAAAGATATACAGACAGCTCATTTCCTAGATTTTAGTGAGATTTCAGTTCGCACTCTATTTCAGTTATATTCATTTGTGGAACTATAAAATGAGTGCATGAAATGAAAATGACACAAATTCATTCTTAAAATAACATTCACAAATGATAGTTTCATTTTCAGTCAACATCCAGGGGTGAAAGAGAGAGATTTTTAGAGTCTAATGAAATTCCATTTATATCCAGTGCCTATCCTGCCAGGCAGTGGCCTCTGCATTCAGTGGGATCCATAGCCTTCTCTACCACCTCATTTTCAATAATCAATGGAGGGGCATAAGCTGAAATTATTTTCATGGTGGCCTTTTTGCTAATATTTATCGTTAGCACAGTATACATGATCACCAAATGTGCCACGCTATGTTTCTTATTATCTCTGGGAACATGACAGAACCCATTCCACCAACTTCCTTTTCCAGATGGCTTACTAAAAACAATAGAAATAAGACCGTGGAAGTAAGACAACAGAAGTAAGACAATGGAAATAAAAGCTATTTAGGAATCTCTCTATCTTGAAAATGAAATGCTTGCTTTCCTAGCTAGAAAAAATTATCTTCCTCTCTTTTTTTTTGAAGGATATGAACAGTTCCCATTGGAATTTATATGGAAAAGTGGGGAAATCATAAAACTATAGCCTGTCAGGATTGAAAGAGACCTTAGAGATCATTTAGGTCAATTTCTCATCCGTTGTATGAACAGCTACCATATTTCTGACAGTTGTTGAACACCTCCAAGGCAAAGAGCTCCCTATCAGCCAAAGTAGCTTGTTCCGTTATTAGACAGGTTTAGTTGTCAGAAATTTCTTTCTCATATTGAGCCAAAATCTGACTCTTTATAACTTAAACTCAGAGTTCTGTGTGTGTGCATGTGAGGTGGTGCAGTTTGGATTTTGTCTCGAGCATCTCAATATTGAGGATGTGGGACTCACTTATAGTCCTTCAGCACAGGAGAAACCATAAAGTTCTTAGCATCAGTTACCAAAAATCTGTTACCCGAAAGTGGTTTATTTATGAAGTTACCAGATGGTTCACTAGGTAAGCCCTCATCCCAAGGTTTCCATTTGCCTCCTTCCAGGGGAAGGTAAGTCTGCTTGCCCCAGGGACAGTTTGTGGTGGGTATTCCAGGTAAAAAAAATTCGCAGTTGTAGCTCTGCTCACGCACATCATCATAAGTTTGTCTTCTGTGTTTGCAACAAACTAACACAGTAGAGGAACTCACCTGGGACCATGCATTAGAGATGAGTAACTAGAAAGAGTAGGTAGAAAAACTCAACTTAGGCAATATACTTACTGGTCATGAACAAAAAAATACAGAGGTGATGGAGTTTCTGGATGAAATGATCATATAGTTGGTGTCTATGTCATTTCTGTGATCCATTTCCCATTTTTAATTTTCATTAGCTTGTTCAAATAATTTGGTTAAATCTTCTTAATAGTATATCATTTCTTTTCTCATTACTATTCTTTCTTCTAATTTATTACAAATTGTAATCTTAGTTCTAATGAGCCCATGGACTGATTATGTGCAGCCACCTGACTCAAGGATAATTTTCATGTCCATATATAAGCCTTTTTGTCTGCTAAAATGTAATCAGTTTAACTCTTTGTAATGTTATTCGACGCTCATCATGTTGAACACCTACCAGCTATTTGGTGTTTTTGAAGAAAGTATTCTTGATATAGATTCGTGAGGCTACTCTAACTTGTAAGTCTATGGTTCCTTTCATTCCTTTCTTCTGAATTGTACTTTCCCATCATTTTCTCATCCTCAACTTTTCTCACCTTTCCATTGAAGTAACCAACTATCAGAGTATGCTTTTATTTTATTTGGAGGGTCTTGTCATGTTCTTCATAGAACTTTTCTACCCCTTACCCTCAATAATCAATGGAGGGACATAAGCTGAAATTATTTTCAAGGTGGTCTTTTTGCAAATACTTATCATTAGCACTGTATACATGATTGCCAAATGTCCCATAATATACTGTTTCTTATTCTCTCTGGGAAGATGATAAAAACTGTTCCACTAACTTCTTTCTTTTCCAGATGGATTACTAAATTTAAATTCATAAAATATAAATCCTCCATATGGCAAAATCCCAAAGAGAAAAGGAAAAATGCCTCTTTAACATGGATTCCAAAGAAGGACCTTAGGGATCATTTCAGAGGTCTAGAACCAGAGATATTTCATAAAAGTTGAAAAGAAACTTTGAGGTCATCCAATGTAATCCCTATGGGATGTGAGGCTCATCACCAAAAACACTCATAAACTATAATCATCGAGTCTCTGCCTCAAGATCTCTAATGAAGAGAATTCTTTGTCTCATGATGTTACATTTAGGGCTTTCAAATATACCTGTAAAGTGATAGGGTAGAGTCTCTCAGACAATGCCTGATCAGAGATGCAGTGTAGACTGATTCATGATGGTGTTACAGTCAGTATAGACTCAGACCTGATGCCCTGCCACTGAGCAAAGGATCAAGAATTGTCACAGGGAATAAGCTGTCTGGAGAAGGGGGAAAAGATAGAGATACCCACTATCTCCCCAGCTAATTCCTAACAAGCATGTGTAGTATCATAGACCTAGACTAGGGCTAAAAAGAAGCTCAGAAGGCATCTAGTTCTACCCGCATCCTCCCCATTTTGAGAGAACTGAGACCCAGGGAGGTTGTAACTGCTCCAAGGCCACACAGTTAGTAACCATCTGAGGTAGGATTTGAACTTAGGTCATCTGACTCCAGAGTCAGTACTCTTTCTTCTGTACCACAAACACCTACTATGTACCTCAGACACTTACCAGCTGTGTGACCTTGGGCAAGTTAGTTAACCTCTCTTTGACTCAGTTTCCTCAACTGTAAAATAGGGATAATAATAGCATTTACCTCCCTGGGTTGTTGTGAGGATCAAATGAAATAATATTTGTAAAGCACTTAGCACAGTCTCTGGCACATAGTAGATGCTATATAAGGGCTAATGATGATGATGATGGTGATGATGATGGTGATGGTAGTGTTCCAAGTCCTGTACTAGGTGAGCCCTGGGAAGATAAACACACTGACAAAAAGACAGACATATAAACTATTGAGAATATTTTCTGGAACCCTAGACCAGAGCTTTTTAAACTTTTTCCACTCACAACCCCTTTAGCGCTTCTTAAACTGTGGGTTGCAACCCTACAGTCAACAATTTAGTCAACCCTTTTTCAAACCCCAAAATCCTACCTGGATTTGACTTTCAATTTGGGAACCACTCACACTACCTAAAGGTACCAAAATTTTGGCCAGTTTACCCACCAGCAACTAGTAACATTTTCCTCCTTCTTCCTCCTTAAAAACTTCTGCTATTGTTTTTTCTCCTACCACTGGGAAGGCAATTTGGTCGTTCCCAGTGCATTTCACCTGGCTCCTCTGACTCTACAGGGCTCCTCGAATTATGGTGTCAACCTGAGACAGCTCATTCCATTTTCTGACAAGTCGTACTGCACAGAAGTTTGCTGGAATGGGACCTGCAGCTCCTGGTGAGGCGTTCTCTGCACACAGGGGTAACTCGGTAAATGTTTGCTTACTCTCCAAACACTGCATCCACCTAATGGAAGTAGGAGCTAGAAAATTAGATTGTTTCACTTGTTGACAAGAGGCAGCAGTGGTCTAGTGGAAGGAGAGTTTGGACCTGGAGCCGACAGAGAAAGAAAGGAAATAGGCATTTATTATATATTACACACCTGCTGTGTGCTAAGCGCTTTACAAATATTATCTCATTTAATCCTCCCAACAACCTTGGAGCAGGTGCTATTAATAGTCTTATTTTACAGCTGAGGTGATTGAGGCAGATAGAGGTTAAGAGACTTGCCCAAGGTCACACAGCTGGTAACTGTCTGAGGCTGCATTTCACCATAGGTCTGTCCTAACTTCGAAGCAGTTAGATGGCACAGTGGATAGAGTGCCCATCCTGGAGTCAGGAAAACCTGAGTTCAAATCTGGCCTCAGACACTTACTAGCTATGTGACCCTGGGCAAGGAACTTGACTCTATTTGCCTCAGTTTCCTGATTTGTAAAATGAGCTGGAGAGGGAAATGGCAAACCACTCTAGGATCTTTGCCAAGAAAATCCCAGATGGGGTCAGGAAGAGTCAGACACCACTGAAAATGACTGAACAACAACACCTTTCCTGAATCCGGGCTGAGCGCTCTATCCACTGTACCACCGAGCTGCCTCAAACAAGGTTTGAATCCTGCTGCCTCATACTCATAAATCTGTATGATTTTGGCAAGTCACTTAACCTAGCTTGGCCTCCAGTTTGTTTGTGTGGAAAAAAGTGATGATAATACATACTTAATTCACAGGGTTGTTTTGGGGTAGCCCTGTAAGGCACATGGCTCAAATGTACTTTGAAAACCTTAAAGTGTATTATGAAAGTAAGTTATTATTTATTTTTTTACTAATCAATGAAACTCAAAGGAAGGAAGGAAGCAGTGTCTGAGATACAGAGCTGGGCTTGGGTTCAAGTTCCACCTCTGATACATACTAGCTTTATGACCCTGGGCAAAATCATTTCACTTTATGGAGAGAAACTCTACAAGACTATAAAAAGCAGAACAGGTCAGGACCTGCACTGGTTTGCCCTATCTATCCTAGTCCGTAATCTATCCCAATCTGAGAGCTCCCTAGACTAGTGAAACTACAGGTCCAGTATAAAAACAAAAGGGAAAAACAATCCAAGACTCAAAACTTTATTTTTTTCTTTGCAGAAGATAGGGTTTTATTTATTTATTCATTTATTGTTTGTTTGTTTGTTTGTTTGTTTAAAACATTTCCACAATAGGCATGTTGTGAAAGAAGAATCAGAACAAAAGGGAAAACCATTAGAAAGAAAAAAGAGAGAAAGAGCAAAAAGTATGCTTCAATCTGCATTCAGACTCCATAGTTCTTTCTCTGGATGTGGATAGCATTTTCCATCATGAAGACACAAAACTTTAATGAAAAAAGGTGTCGGTTTTTTTCCTCTTTACTCTTCCTCTGTCACTGAAGGATATAGAAGGAAAAGCTTTCCAACAATCAGCGGTAACCAAAATGCTACCTTGGGAGGCAGATGTTGAGTTCACCATCATGGAGGTCTTCAGGCAAAGTCTAGATGACTATTTGTTGAGTGTGTGACATGGGGGAACAAGAGAATCAGATTGCAAGGTCACAGATGTTCTTTCCAGCTATGAAATTCTGTGAAAGCTTAGCATTGGGGCAGAATTTTCTTTCCTGGAGAAATCATGGGAAATTCTCTTTCATGGAGAAATCATGGGAAACCTTGGAAATTCTTCTCATTGGCGCTAAGGACTGGGAAGTGAAAGTTTGTTAAGTGCCTTGAACATATTACCTTTCTTTATAGTTTCCGTGTTCCAACCAGTCAGACCTTCTTGCTTTTCCTCTTCCATAACATTCCATGTTGATCTCTGCGACTTTGAATAGGATCACTGTGACTTTGAATAGGCTGGGCCACAAGCCTGGAATGTGTTTCCTTCTCACCTCTGTCTCTTGGGATCCCTGTCTTTCTTCAAGGGCTGATTTCTGCAGAAGGTTTTTCCTGTTCCTCCTCAGTTGTTTTCCCCCACTCCCGCCCCCAATTACTTTGTACTTACTTTGCTCTTGTTTTAATTTATCTATATAAAAGAGGATTTTCCCTACAGCCCCACAAGAAGGTATGGAAAAGGATTATATAGGTGTTAAAGGGTTTTCTTTCATCCCCTCTAAAAAAGTTTTAACACCTGTGTGATTGACTTAGAAGGGAATAATTGATTGGCTAAACAAATTAGCCATACCTTAATGGGCTTTAAATAGCTAAGCTTAGGAGAGTTAGGACAAGCCAAGAGGAAAAGAGTTAGAAGTGTAGGAGTAATATGGATCCTGAGAGGGAATTACTCTTGAGGGTTGAGAGAGGGGAGAGACTTTCTCTCCCCCTATGGTCCAAACCCATTGGCCATGCCACTTTGAAGAGGAATTGCCTGACTAATAGGAAACACTGCATCGAGCAAAGAAGAGAGATACTACCTCTATAATCAGACACAAATAAAGTTTCTTGAGAAAGCAGCTTCAAGGAGCATGAAGCCCTGGTAGCAGAGAAGAGAGCCAATTATGAACTTGAGAGGGCTAGCTTTGACAATGGAGAGCTGGGCTAAATTTCCAGTTAAATATCTCATCACCTCACTCATTTTCAGTGATTAGGTCTATGAAAGACCAATGCCTTTAATTTATATGCATACATGTTATTTCCCCCAATATAACCTAAGCTCCATGTGAATAGGGATTGTTATGGTCTTATCTCTGTATCTACTTGCATTGTGTCTGGATCATAGTAGGAGCACAGTAATGATGTGATCTTGTATGAAAAGTGCCAACCTTGAACGTGAAATCATAGAATCTGAAATTTAGGCCTAAAAAGAACCTCAGAAACCATTTAGTCCGACTCTTTATTTTACAGATGAAAAGGACTGAGGCATAGGACAATTAAGGTCCAACAAAGGGAGAGCCAGGTTTTGTTTTGTTTTATTTTTGCTGAGGCAGTGGGGGTTAAGTGACTTGCCCAGGGTCACACAGCTGGTAAGTGTCATGTGTCTGAGGCTGGATTTGAACTCAGGTCCTCCTGACTCCAAGGCCAAGGCTCTATCTACTGTCATCTAGTAGCCCCGGGAGCCAGGTTTTGAAGTCAGGTCTTCTGATCTCAAAACCAGCCTTCTTTTAACTGTACTATATATAAGTTTATGTGGTAACTGGTACCATAAGACCAAAATCTGACTTAAGTGACCCTTTATCCTAAAACATTGAAGGCCTTTCCCCTCTTAGGTACAGAAATAAGAGCCAGGGGCTCCAATTGGTCTTTTAAGCCAGAAACAACACTTCACTTAGGTCAGAAGACCTCTCTAGGGGTGTACTTAGTTCTTCTGGAGGAATTCATAGAAATACTGCAGCCCTCTGCTCTATGGTTCCAACTCAGGAGATTAGCAGACCTAACCCCACAGGAATCGTTTATTCATGTGTAACTTTGAACATGAAATCCTACTCCCTCGAACGTCATAGTTTCCAGTGAAAAGGGTCTCTACGCTTGAGCACTTCCAAGAAACGTTCTTGGCTTCTCAGAAGAGTGTACAATCCTCAAAATGACCCGCCCCATTCATGGGTTCTATTAACAAACTCAAACAAACAAAGATCAACCCTGTACTCCCCCAGGCCCCGCCTTTCTCCCCACACACAACACCCTGTGCAAGTAAGTCAAGTCAGATAGGGAAATTTTGTGCTAAATAGGTCAGGGGGTTTGCATCAATAAATAAGGCAAGGCTCTTAGCTCTCATGTTCACTCCCTATATCTGTGAGATGGGTGTTTGCCAGTCAGGAACCTATAAAGGTCAGCTATGGACAAGCGGGAGGTTCCTAGCCTAGCCTTCGCTTTCCTAGGCTTGTGTTTTTCCAACATTTACTGTTGTGTTTAATGTCTCATTCGGTCTCTCTGGATGGTTTCCAGGCCTGTGAAAGACCTAAATCTTCAGTCTGATTTCCATCCCACGGTTCCGCCTACAGAAAAATGACTGGAATGCTTTGGAGGCCAAAGTAAATACAGAGGAAAGAACAAAGGGTGTATAGTAAGTACCTCCATTTCTCAGGAGACCTTCGTGTGGCTACAGGTGTATGGCCTCAGAGCCTGGGCAAATCATAATCATAGAATGACAGTAATGAGATTTTACAAGTGATTAGCAGGTTTATGGTCATGAAAGTCCCCATTAAGTAGACAGAAAGAATTGCATCAACCTTTAATTTGTCCTTAGCCTTGAGACAGGTGATGGTTATGGCTGGGAAGACAACAAAAACCCTCCCAGCCTTTCAGGACTAGAGGAACAGAATGTATTTCCAGAAATGGCTTGGCCTACTTCAGCTGTCTTTTTTATTTTTTTCCATATTCAGTTAGCATTTAAGAAGGCATCTTCCCTCCAGTGCTGAGAGATAGTCATTTAGGAAAGGTCAGTCACACCAACCACTGAACTTCATTGGATTCATTGGAATCTAATTCATTGGAACTGGTTACTAAACCAGTAATTCAATACTTTAATGACATCATAACTTTTTCTGTGTGTGTGGGTGTTTACTTTCAGTGGTGCAAATCGCAAACCCTCTAGAGCCATCCCTGTCCATGTCTTCTCAAAAATCAGCCATAGAGGGGCAGCTAGGTGGCACAGTGGATAGAGCACCGGCCCTGGATTCAGGAGGACCTGAGTTCAAATCCGGCCTCAGATGCATAACACTGACTAGCTGTGTGACCCTGGGCAAGTCACTTAACCCCATTGCCTAACCCTCCCCCCCAAAAAAAAAATCAGCCGTAGACAATCTACTCATCATGTTAGCAAGCCCTCCTTCAGGTCAAGAGCTTTTAACCTGGATCCACAGACAGCTACCCATCCCCAAAGATTAGCAGGGGACAGCAGAAAGAAAAATGAAAGAGGGTAACTCTAATGCTTTATGTGTTATGGCCTTCAGTCAAGTCCTCCATTTTCTACCTGATCCAATTGTATTTGCCTTTTCTAATATCTTCTAACACCTTCTCACCTTAACTCAAAACCATGTAGTCTGGGGATAGATTTCAGGGTGTCCGTGAACTTAGTTGGGAAAAAAATACATCTCTATTTTCACTAACTTCTAATTAAAATTTAGAATTTTCATAAAGTAGGTGCTTAATAAATGCTTGTTGACTTGACTGAATTATGCATGTAGGCAGTAAACCTCTGTAGTACTTATTAGCATTCATCTAACTGTTAGAGGGGTCCATGATACAAAAAAAATTAAGAATGCTTGTTCTAGGGCTTTTAACATTTTAAGGATTCCAGCACAGCCATCCACCTCTTATTCCTGCTTCATAAGACCAAGAACTGGGAGAAATCTTAGAAATGATCCACTCCAATCCCCTCACTTTACAGATGATTTACCCCAAATGACAGAACTACTGAGTGGCAGAGGCAAACTTCCAGTCTACATCCTGGGAGCAAGTGTCATAGTTTTAAGATGGAAGAGACGATATAGGCAAGGATGTGCTAGAGACCGTGCAAACTAGATAATTGCTGAATTTTCAGTATTAGTGTTTATACCTCAGAAATCTGCAATCATTATAAATCTGAGCTTGATTTATTGTTTTGTGGGTCACCTACACTTAAAGTGAAGAGGAAAATGTTAATGAGGCAAATTAAACTTAAAAGTATGCCCTGCATGTAATTGTGGGGGATGGGAGAAGGTGACCTGGTTGTTAAACATTTACCCCTGCTTCTAGGTGATCTAGTCTAAACTCTTCATTTTACTTTTATCTAAACTTGAGTCCAGGGAAGTTTACTTGCCCAGGGTCACATAGGGAGGAAGTGAAAGAGCTGAGATTCAAACCAGAGTCTTTCAATTTGAAATAGAGCACACTTTCCATATTACTATGCTATCCCTTTCTTTAAAAAAAATTCATTTTTATCTTGAATTTAAGAAACATGAACATGTTAATATACCAACCAAGACAAAGGAGATTGTATATGAAACCATAAGTACCTAACACATACAACTTGCTTTTGAATATATCTATTAAAATTTCCCCAATTGATAAATGTCAAAGGATATGAACAGGCAGTTCTTAGAGGAAGAAACTAAAGCTATCTAGAGTCACATGAAAAGATGTTCTAAATCACTATTGATTAGAGAAATGCAAATCAAGTGACTCTGAGGTACCATATCACACTTATCAGATTGGCTAACATGATAAAAACAGGATAATGATAAATATTGGAGAAGATGTAGGAAAATTGGAACACATTGTTGGTGGAGTTGTGAAATGATCCAACCATTTTGGAGAGCAATTTGGAACTATGGAGTAAGGGTTATAAAATTGTGCATACCCTTTGACCCAGCAATACCACTTCTAGGTCTGTATCCCAAAGAGATCATAAAAACGGGAGAAGGACCCACGTGTACAAAAATATTTATGGCAGCTCTTTTTGTGATGGCAAAGAATTGGAAATTGAAGGGATGCCCATCAATTGGGGAATGGCTGAATAAGCTGTGGTATATGAATGTAATGGAATACCATTGTGCTATAAGAAATGATGAGCAGGCAGACTTCAGAAAAACCTGGAAAGACTTGTATGGACTGACGCTGAGTGAAGTGAGCAGAACCAGGAGAATGCTGTAACAGGCACATTGTGGGATGACTGACTTTGATAGACTTGAGTCTTCACAGCAACACAAGAACCTAAGACAACCCCAAAAGATTCATGATGGCGACTGCTAGCCACCCCCAGAGAAAGGATTTAGGAGTCTGAATGCAGATGGAAGCAGAGTATTCGCCCTCCTTTTCCTTTGTTGTTTTGTTTCATTGTTGGTTCCTCCCATTGGTTCTAATTGTTCTTTACACCATAACTAACAGGAGAATGTGCTTAACATGAATGTATACGTAGAGCCTATATCGGATTGTACACCGGGGGAGGGGGGGCAAAGAAAATTTAAAATTCAAAATCTTATGGAAGTGAATGTTGAAAACTAAAAATAAAGAAATTTTTAAAAAAGAAAAGAAAATATTTATTAAATTTAATACCACAAGACCAACACTGTCCTAATTGCAGTGTCTCCTCCGTAACTTCCTTCTGCTCTCTTTTGTTTATTTTTTAAAGCCTTTTATTCTTTCTTTTTAATTTGCACACCTTTTACTACTCTCACAACACTCCCCCCCCAAAAAAAAAGCCCTTTCATAAAAAATAGCTATAATCATATAGTACCCCCTTCCAATTATGGCTTTTCTGCATGAGGTCCCTCATGTCATTCCTCATACGAGTCATCATTGGTAATATTTTTCAGGCAATTTAAGCCTCCCAGGCATCTTTCCTTTGCTCTTTGAGTTGTCCACAGTTGTGATTGTTTTTTCCCAGAGACTGGTATTCCATGGTTGATAGTCATACAACATCATCTGGAAAATATCCTTCTTAAAAATGTGGGGTTTGCTTCAGGGAGCAGTCCAGGAGCATGGAAAGAGGTGCCCCGATTTACAAATTGGATCCAACTTGGTCTCTTCCTTTTATCCACTTCTAGGCCCAGTTCATTGTCCATTTAGAGCACATGTCCATAATGCTCTAACCCCACAAATGATTTCAATGATCTTCATGCCATCCCAGGCAGAGGAATGAAATTTAGATGAGAAGAAGACTGTCTACATGCACACCTAGCCTTCAGTCAGGAAGATTCATCTCAGCCTCAGACACTCACTAGCTGTGTGGCCCTTGGAAAGTCACTTAACCCTATTTGCCTCAGTTTCCTCATCCGTAAAATGAGCTGGAGAAGGCAAACCGCTCCAATATATTTGCCCAGAAAACTCCAAATGGGGTCACAAAGAGTTGGACATGACTGAAAAATGACTGAATGACAACAAATATACACCAACTTTGTGTATGTGTGTGTGTACAAAAAAAAATTGACCCGATGAAATGAGATCAAAACCAATTAAAAAGTTATTTTTATTCAACAAAGTATTTTCAAAACAATCAGTTGTTTGATTCAATTCAGTCTTTGGGTACTAGATTTAGGGTGAGTCAGTCAACAAGTGTTTATTAAATGCCTGCTGTATGCCAAGCACTGGAGATAAAAAGAAAGGGGAAACACAGTCCCCTAGCCTCAGGAAGCCTACAGTCTAATGGGAAAGATGCTATGCAAACAATTATGTAGAAACTAGCTATATGCGGCATAAAATAAGAAATAATAGACAGAGAGATCTACCCTATTTGGGAGCAGTATACATTTGCATGCCCTTACCTACCCATGGAAAAAAAGTAAGAAGAGCATTTATACAGCACCTCAGGTTTGAAAAGTGCTTTACAAATATTATCTCATTTGATCCTTACAAAACCCTACGGATTAGATATTATTGGTCAGGTAAGTGGCACAGTGGATAGAGTGCCAGGCCTGAAGTCAAGAATACTCATCTTCCTGAGTTCAAGTCCGGTCTTAAACACTTACTAGCTGTATGACCCTGGGCAAGTCACTTCACCCTGTTTGCCTCAGTTTCCTCATCTGTACCAGTGAGCTAGAGAAGAAAATGATAAACCACTCCAAATGCACTCTGAGAAGTTGGATATAACTGAAAAAAGACTATTATTATCCTCATTTTTCAAGTGAGGAAACTAAGTTTGAAAGAGATTATGTGCCTGGGCAAATCTCCAGGTTCACACAACTAATAAGAGTCTGATGCAAGATTTGAAATAAAGGTTTATTGCTTGATTGGTTTTATTGATTGATATGGTCTTCCTGATTCTAAGTCCAACATTCTATGGTACCACTTAGCTGCAATGCATAGTTAAAAGTACTCAATCCTATTTAAATGAGCAATTAAAAATGAAAAATGGACAAAAGAAATCACATTAACATCAATTAAGATAATTTTATACAGAAATTTATGTGATATAAATCTATTGCTTAAACAAGAAAACCAAAGAAGCAACTTAGGCAACAAACATTTGATTTACTTGCCAAACAGGGAGAGCTGGAGGCCAAAGGCAACACTGATTTAGAATATAAAACTCATTTGTAAAATCTTATAAAGAAGGATGATGGATAGTTATGAGTAATATCATCC